ATTATTTCATAGGGGTTTACTTACACAGGGAAAAAAAAGTCCTACAACTCCCTGCATGCCCCAGTCAGTATGGCATGGCTGGAGCATGCTGGGACTTGTAGGACTTTTTTCTGACTAAACATGCACAGGATTCTGTTCTTCTTTGATCTGCTGTTTACTGTTTTGGTGTTATTCAGCTTATTGTTTTTATGCCAAGTATTTGTAAACTGCCTTTTGGGGAACTCCTCCCTGCCCACACACAAATCTCCAGGATATAAAACTCTAAACCTTGAAGGGCACAACCCCATGTGGCTGCCAACAGTTTTCTGAACTTGAAAGGTTATAGGCATCCAACTGAGCACAGGAGAAACATCGAGGATAGGTTGTCTATGCATTCAACTCACCCTCCAAAAGATCTGATTACATACAGAGATTGTCCAGCTATTAAAACTACACTGCTGTGTATTAAAGTCATCTGGTACTGTGCAGTGGTGTGGCAGAGGGGGAATGTTTAATTTACTTGCATTATCACGTTTGTCCTCATGTAAAGGAAGCCAAGGCAGCTCCATTTCGTTCTCAGAACAACAACCCTGTGAGGTAGGCTAGGTTGGGAGTGAGTGGCCCACAGTGAGTTTCCTAGCTGAGTGGGGAAGAGAACCCCATCTCCCAAAATTCTAACCGCCATGCCGCATGACTTCCTGTGGATGTTATGCATGCTAATATAAAGCATCTTAAAGTTACCAAGAAATAAAATTATGATGGCAATAAATTTGGGTCATATGGACTAGTGAGGCACACAGCAACACTCATTTTTCAGTTTTGTCTGGTGGAGCTTCCTCACTGCATGGTGTAAGATTCCACAGTTCAAAATAATGTAAAGTATCTGTGTGTGTTACTCATCCTTTGAGGGAGCGATTCTATACTAACCATTCGACTAGTGGTGAGCTCCTCAGTTGGCACTGAGGAGTGACACATACCGTTGCAGGTTTCCTGGTGCAGATGGGGAACTCTGATAGGAACTACTGGGGTGGACTATGTCAGGTTAGTACTGGAGTTGGATATGTGATTTGCAAGGCCCATAATTTCCCTCGCATTCCCAGTGAGTGGGAAGGTGGTTGTGTGCACCTCTAGGGCTGGCATATGTACTTCCTTCCCATTGACTAGAATGAAAGGGATAGAGAGAAATATGTCTCCCAACACACATACCTGCTGCAGGAAACTGGCAAGGTAATGAATGTGTGCCAAGGTATCCCTTCCTGCTGCACTGTAAGGGACCCAGAGGATTGTTCCATTAGTCTTGCAAATATTTTCCTGAAGATTTTAAAGATAATGTTGCTCTCAGATTTTGCATTTGGGTTATTCAAACTATTACAGTCTTTTAATTTGCCTAAAAAGAACCAACAACCATGAAAAATTGGTCTCTCTTCTGTGCACAGTAGTCAGCCAGGTATTCTAAATGCAAGATGACATTTCTGTACCTGGTCTAGCAATCCTGTTTTCTTCCTCCCAGTCAAAACTTTTGTTAAGAAGGCAGCCTATTATGATGCTTACAATCCCTTTAATCATCCGAAGAATCTTTTAAGTGCATGTCAGATGGTATCCCATGATGCTTAGAAATCCTTGAAAATTGTGGAATCTAAATAATAAGACATTGTTCCAAATGCAAAGCTTTCAAAACAGGAAGCTTTCAAGACAGGTTTTGTCCCTCTAAGGCTGGCATGGCATTTTAAAAACACACACATTAACTATCCTTAACCATCCAGGAAAAAATCTAGTGAGGAATTGTGGCTAAGTTTTTAATGTCTTACATGGTTTTTATATGATTTCATTGATTGTATATGTAATCCACCCAGGCAGCTGTGTGGTTAATGTGGAGGGCTAAAACTCAATCAATCAATCAATCAATAAATGTTAATCTCAGCACTGCTTGGTTGTAGGAATGTGCACCAAAAACTAGATTTGCCACTTCAGAAAGAGCCCTGAATTGGCTTGGACTGCTATGCAAGCTGCCTGCTTCCACCTGAATTGGAATTAGAACCGTATTTCAGCAAATCAAGGCTTCCTATGCCTCCCAATTGATTATAATAGAAAAGGACACAGATGTTTATAACACTGTTTGCAAACTGCCAAGTGAGCTTTGGCTAATGGTGGTACAGAAACGGACTGAAACATTTAGGGCACAATCCTATCACCCCTATCCTCAGTGCACATAAACATTCGGGCTTGGAGATTTATGTACCTCCTACATCAGGACAAGGCATGGAAGCAGCAATCTCTGTTGTGCCACAACTCTCACCATGACTTTTAACTGGACAGCCATTTTTGGCCATCAAGATAAAAAAATAGTGAGGGAGAGAGAAAGAGGATGAGCCACTGATAGACCTCCTCCTCCTCCTCCTCCTCCTCCTCCTCC